ATATATAATATAAATATAAATATATAATATAAAATATAATTTTTAAATACTCTAAATAGATATAACTCCCAAATCAAATTTACTATGGAATTAGAAACCAAATCGGTGTTACCTTTTCTTGATATCCTAATTTTAAAAACAGAACAGAAATTCCACTCCACAGTCTACTATAAACCCGGCATAGAATCTTCGTATTTAAATTTTAAATCATACAGCCCAATAGGACACAAAATATCTATAGTGAAAACGTTAACTAAACGAATATGGACACATTGTACTCTACCGATTTTCAAGAAAATTGAAAAACGAAATATCACCCAAAATCTATACCGGGCAAATAGTTATCTACAATATTCACCTGCTAATGAAAGATTATCCCATGAATTGAGGAAATATGGCATAAAATGCTTATTTAGATATTCCCGAACCATAGGCCAGATCATTAGAAAAACCCCATAACCAAATCCAATAATAATACAGAGTCTAGAAACAAGCAGAATGCCATATACTCCATCTCCTGCCGACAATGCAATGCCTCTTACATAGGAGAGACTAGCAGATCAATAGACATAAGAGTTAAAGAACATAGCCGTAATATCAGAAACCAAGATAACAAATCCTTAATATTCCAGCACGAAAATTCTACAGGTCATCAATTCAACCTACAAGATGTCACATGTCACTTCCATAGCATATTCTCCAAATACAATAGACTCATTCTAGAATATTTAATCTCCAAAGACAATAATAGCATAAACAGAAGAATTGATCTACCCCAACAGTTCCAGCATATTCAACGCAGATGATGCCAACCCCCAACGAAACAGTACCCTCTACAACTGCCACTATTTTTATTTTTGAATTTTTAAATGTATTTCTCTGAATCTCTATTGTATCTGTAGCACGCATTTGCGGAGCCAGTGGCCTGATGAAGCGCGACCGCGCGAAAGCTTGCCTCCCATACCTTAATAAAGAAACTCTGCAAATATTTTAAATTTATTTAACTCAATCAAAATATAATATACTAGCGGATGTACCCGGCTTCGCCCGGGTTTTACCCGAGTAAAGGTTTGTCTAACGAATCTCTCAATAAAGTGAACATTTTTTCCCGGTCCCTTGAAAAATACTCGATAAGTTGAATAAAATCAATATTAATTGTTCCCTCGGTAATTGGAAGTTAATGGAATAGTATCTTGCCTTGGAATTGTATCATTATTCCTAGTATCATTATTCAGAGAATAATTAGTATTCATATTCCTTATTCATGTATCTTATTCATAGATTCTCCACTCAAATGTATCCATGGGTAATTTTCACCCGGCGCGCGCAATGCCGGGTTAAAATAATAAATCACTAATTTCGCAATAAGCTATTCTTTATTTGATTTTTTTAATATGTGAGATCTATCTGAAAAATTTAAGATATGAGGGAAAATGTTGCCGGCGACTTTCTCAATCCAGACCAGCCCGCGAACAAACTAAATAAATTAAGAGATCAAATTTCCACGCTCTACGGGCGGAGATCAGAGCTTGGTTAAATGGTTTCGTCAGTGTAGAGGACAAAACGTTCCTTCGGCGTTTTCATGTTCAAGTCTTTCGCGCAGTCTCTTGGGATTAAAGGATTTGCTTCAAGTGAGGGGTGGCTCTCATATTAAAAAAAAAAAAACGACACGGGATATCATTTAAAAAATCTGCGGAGAGAGCGCCAGCGTGGATATTTCCATTTGCTCGCAAAGGATTGACGACCTAAACCAACTTTTGAATGGCTATGACCTATGGTTATCGTCTGATTTCTACTAATTCAAAAATGAATAGAGGTTCGTATCAAGAAAATTCAAAGGGAAAACAGGAAACTTTTATCAAGTTGGTATGCTTACAGGACGAAACTATGCAAAAGCTTCTATATAAGTAATTTAATTTTTAGTATCGCATTTGTATTTATTCGAATTTTATATTTAAACAATACTCATTATTTCTTTTGATTTTTATATATCGTATATATCGTCTTGCCCAATTATTCAAACTTTTTTAAATAAAGTACAATACTTAAAATAAAATATGTTTCTTATACAATCTAAAATTAGAAAATAAACTTTTAAATCGGTAACCTCAAGGAGATAGCATTATAAAGCACTAATATTTGAATTAGTTTTAACTTAATATATTAGCCCTGAAAGACCCAAGGTCATCAGGCGTGGAGCAGACTTCCTGCCTAAGCCTATCTCATGTCGTAATGGTGGAGCTGCTTGCGAGTTAAATATACAAATCTGCAAATAACTCTAAGGATATTCAAGATATTCAATAAATTATTTTTCAGAAACCTTCCCAGTACTATACTAAATAACTTCCCAAAGTTCATGGCGTTCCAATGAGTGGTTTGGTCAGGCATAAAGGACACACACACACATACATTCATTTTTATATATATATACTAGCGGATGTACCCGGCTTCGCCCGAGGTTTTACCCGAGTAAAGGTTTGTCTAACAAACATTTTTTAAAACAATTCTCTATAAACTTATAAAAAAAAAAAGATATATTTTGATAATTTGAAACTCGTAAATTTGAATCGATAAAGTGAACATTTTTTCCCGGTCCCTGTGTGCCGTGTCATCCTGAATTTTGTCTTTCATAATTTTCTACATTACAAAATCATCGTTTTATCTAGTGAACATATTTTCCCGGTCCAGGTTTGTCTAACGAACATTTGGTAAAACAATTCTCTAAAAACTTATAAAAAAAAAAGATATATTTTGATAATTTGAAACTCGTAAATTTGAATCTCTCGATAAATTGAACATTTTTTCCCGGTCCCTGTGTGCCGTGTCATCCTGAATTTTGTCTTTCATAATTTTCTACATTACAAAATCATCGTTTTATCTAGTGAACACATTTTCCCGGTCCCTTGAAAAATACTTGATAAGTTGAATAAAGTCATGGTCGTGAATCTCTCGATAAAGTGATTATTTTTTCCCGGTCCCTGTGTGCCGTGTCAGCCTGAATTTTGTCTTTCCTAATTTTATACATTACAAAATCATCGTTTTATCTAGTGAACATATTTTCCCGGTCCCTTGAAAAATACTCGATAAGTTGAATAAAATCATGGTCGTTTATGGAAGATGGACGTAGTTCCCGGAGGTCACCCGCCACCCGCGCGCCAGGACCTCTTGATCACTCTCTGATTGGCCGGCGGCCGGACGGGGGGGGGGGGGGGGGGGGGGGGGGGAGGGGGCTCTTGATCCCTCTGATTGGTCGGTGGGAACTTGGACTGTCCAACCAACTGGCCGGCGGCCGGACGGTGGGGGGAGGGGCAGATCTCCGTTGCAAGATGGCGCTGCTTGCGAGTTAAAGCTACAAATCTGCAAATAACTCTAAGGATATTAAAGATATTCAAGAAACTATTTTTCCTAAACCTTTCCGGAGATACACCTAATAATATCCCAAAATTTCACGGCGATTGGATGTATGGTTTTTGAATCCATAGAGGACACACAGACACACACACACAGACATTCAATTTTATATATATAGACTAGCGGATGTACCCGGCTTCGCCCGTGTTTTACCCGAGTAAAGGTTTGTCTAACGAATCTCTCGATAAAGTGAACATTTTTTCCCGGTCCCTTGAAAAATACTCGATAAGTTGAATAAAATCAATATTAATCGGTACCCGAGTAAAGGTCTGTCTAACGAACATTTGTTAAAACAATTCTCTATAAACTTATAAAAAGAAATAGATATATTTTGATAATTTGAAACTGATAAAGTGATCATTTTTTCCCGGTCCCTGTATGCCGTGTCATTCTGAATTTTGTCTTTCCTAATTTTCTACATTACAAAATCATCGTTTTATCTAGTGAACATTTTTTCCCGGTCCCTTGAAAAATACTCGATAAGGTTGAATAAATTCATGGTCGTTTATGGAAGATGGACGAAGTTCCCGGAGGTCATCTTGGGCAAGCTCCCGCGAGGCTTTTTTTCTTGTCTACTTGGCATAGCTGTGTCACCAACTCTGCCCTGATTGGTCGGTGGGCGGCCGGCGGCCGGGCGAATCCATTCTCTCACGGGGTGGACCAGACCCAAGGTCATCAGGAGCAGCAAACCTAAGCCTATCTCTGTCTCAATGGTGGCGCTGCTTGCGAGTTAAAGCTACAAATCTGCAAATAACTCTAAGGATATTGAAGATATTCAAGATATTATTTTTCGTAAACCTTTCCGGGGATACACCTAATAATATCCCAAAATTTCACGGCGATTGGATGTATGGTTTTTGAATCCATAGAGGACACACACACACACACACAGACATTCATTTATATATATATATAGATAGATACCGAAATCATAGCAAATTGACTTTAACAACCATAAGGCACTAGACGTTCCGTTTATGGATATTATCCATTATAACTAACATTGTATCATAAGAGAGAGAGAGAGAGAATTTGGCCTACCTATTTATATTCCATAAGTTGAAATTCTTAGGGAATAAATTTGAACAAAATTTTATTGTTGAATTGTTAGGTTGCGTGCTAATAAACGGACAATTTATACGCCGATCTGGTGTCAAATTATTTCTAAGTTCAAATTTACGCAAACATATCAACACAGAGTTAATCGATTTTTAACCAATCATCTTATAATATTGAAATTATTGAACAGTTTTCAAAAATTAGGGGTATTATTTCCTGAGGAAATATTTCAAGGTATAATAAGGCTAATATGTAGATTTCGTTAACAACGTTGGTACCATTCTCAGACAAAAGGAAATATAGAGATAAGATAAATATTGAGATAAGAAAGAAGAAGAAGGAAATATAGAACCACAGAATGCTGTTAATTATATTTCACATAGAAAATATCACAGTTAAAAGTCTGAAATATTAACTTTACATGTTCCTAATAATATTAATAAATACAGTTATCAGAGTCATGCACAATTCTGTCACGTTGAGTCACGTGTCAAGTTACGGTAAGTAAAAATTTAAAAATTAAAAAAAGATGTCGAAACCCGGGATCAAACCAGGGACCTTTAGATCTTCAGTCTAACGCTCTTCCAACTGAGCTATTTCGGATTATTTTAGCTATTTCTATAGAAGCTTCTATATTTATAATTATGTATATTTTCAAAAATTCAATTCACACCTCTTCGCTGGAGAACATTGGAATACTGACTAATTCATTATGCTAACATAATTATAAATACAAGTATCAGAGTCAACAACAATTCTGTCATCGTTTGCTTTTGTGAATGGAATAAATACCCAAATAGACTGTATTGTCTCCCATTGGCTGTTAGGTTACGTACATGACCTATACATCGAGGGACTACAACACTCAGATCACTTACCTCTAATTAAAAAAATGGATATGAGTTGGGGACCGAAACAAGTGACGAACCCGACTTCACGGGTAAAGAAAAAATATATATGGTTACCCGAAAGAGTAACGCAATTTGTAGAGGACTTAGGAGGAGCTTATGGATTTTGGAATAACTCGATTGAGAATATAATGAACAACATGGTTAATCAGATCAAAAGCGCAATGGTACAAAATGGTATGCAAATTGAAATAAAAGCGAATAACTCACTGTCGAAGCCTTGGTTTGATCATGAGTGCTACATAGCGAAAAAGATTATGAAAGCAGCTCTGACAAAATATATTAAATCTAATAGGGATCTAGATCGTTTGGAATATGTCAAAACAAGGAACAAATATACATCGATTAATAACAATAAAAAGGAAAAAAAATTCTGTGAAATACAAGAAATATTAAATAATACATACGATTCAAGTGAATTCTGGAAAAAATAGCTCGCTTCAGAAAAAAAAACTATACACAGGGCAATATCTCAATATCGGACTGGCAGCAATTTTACAATAAACTCCTGGATACAGAACCAATACCAGATTACGAACCCGTTACTATGACCCTCCTAAATACAGATAATGAGCTAACTAAATGCATAACTCTTAATGAAATAAGCAAAGAAATTTCTCGAATAAGGCATGGCAAGGCGACTGGTTTTGACGACATAATGAATGAAGCAATAAAGGCCCTCCCAAAAGATTATCTAATCTCCTTAAAGGATATATTCAATAGAATTTTGAGAACGTCTGAATTTCCGACAACATGGTTGAAATCAGTTATCCAACCAATTTTTAAGAATGGTGATTCAGACGACCCCTCTAACTATCGAGGCATAGCGCTCTTAAGCAATATAGCAGAATTATTTACATCAATACTCAAATCTCGTCTAGGCAGTTGGATCGAAAGGAGAAATATAGTTCCTGAGAACCAGGCGGGATTCAGGGCCGGCCAGGACCATATATTCACTCTATCATCCCTGATTCAAATGACCCTAAGCCAAAAGAGAAGAAAATGCTACATGTTCTTCGTGGATTTGAAAAAAGCCTTCGACACAGTGCCCCACTCATTATTATGGAGAAAACTGGTAGATGCAGGTCTCAACCACCGCGTTTTGTTAACTTAATTAAAGATTATTACACAAATATGACAGCGGTAGTGCGATGGAACAATTCATTCACTGCGCCAATAAAGGTGCGTTCGGGAGTTTTACAAGGGGAGCCGATATGTCACCTTATTTATTTATACTTTTTATAAATGATTTAATCGGTCTCTACAATGGTTCAGATTTACCGGGAATATATCTCCCAAATTATGAATATGTTCATATTCTACTATACGCAGACGATATTTTCTTGATTGGAGAATCCAAACATAACCTTCAAATAAAAATCAATATGCTAAGAAAATAATTTGAAACAAATTTATTAACCCTGAATGAAAATAAGTCAAAAATTGTAGTTTTCAGAAACGGCGGTCGATTAGCACAAAATGACAAATGGTTTTGGGGTGAGCGGCAACTGTCTGTTACTACGAAATATCTATACTTGGGATATCCGCATACAAGTGCAAATTCACTAAACAAGGTAGCGTCACACTACAAGGGCAAAGCCCTGGCAGCAATTGGCGCTGTGTGGCGGGTTCTGTCAAAATCCAAGATGAACTCTCTAAATGCGGCAATGAGATTACTTGATTCGACGGTCTTGCCTCACATGCTATACGCCGCACCCTGCTGGGCACTCAACCAAGGTAGTTGACCAGGTTCAGAATATTTTTCTAAGACGCTACCTAAATTTACCAAAGTATAATCCGAGCTTTATGCTAAGAATGGAGTGTGGACGAGTATCACAGGAAGTTATCAAAACTAAGCAGTTCCTGAGATTTTGGGTGAGGATTATGAAAATGGAAGAGAGTAGGTTGCCCCGGGAATGTTTGTCACACCTCTGGACATTACACAGCAATCAAAGGGCTGGTTTAACCTTTGTCGAAAACCTGTCAACCATTTTAGACTCAAACGGTTTTTCGTTCCTGAAGGGTTGTCCGGATTACACTGCAATACTGACTGAAATCCCTGCAATTATTCGAATAGCAACCGAACAAAGCATCCAAAACGACATGGCGAAAATTCTAAATACATCACATTACAGTCACTTCAAATACCTAGAAAACTCAATAACAGCACAACGATATTTATTCACAACTATTCCTCTAGCAATTAAAATATTTTTTGCACAACTGAGACTCCTTTGGACGATCTTCCCAGAAAACCGTTCAAAGCGCTGGAAGATTAATTTGACTCTAACCTACGAACTGTGTAAAAACAGAATCCAAGACGAAATTATGCATATAATATTTGGATGCACTTGCTTAGAGAAACAGAGGAATTAATTTTTGGGTGACTTACCCTGGTCTCAACCTGACTGCCAACATATTTGCAGCTGGATGAACACACTGATGGTTGATCAGGGTCTCTCCCTCGGTTTATATAAATTATACAAGGCCGCAGTCAATGTCCGTTGGAGAATAATGGATTCGCCGAATGTCGTGGTTTGCTTGGAGGAAGAAAGCGAAGATTGAACGCGCCTGATTCCACACTAGCCCTCTCAATGATATTCTAACCTTGACATACTCTAAACATTGGTACTTTAATTTAAATATTTAATCATGTATGGTTCCTTTTGATCTGTATGTTTATTTTCTGTATATATGGCTATATTTCTTTTTGTTTGTTTTTTCTTTCTTCTCTCTTTTCTTTTTCCTTATTACTTCTTGTATTTTAGTTTTTGCTTTTGAAATATCTTCCTTTCCTAAATCCCTTAGAGGGGAATCATGTATAGGGCTGGATGTCCCAATAAAAAGGCTTGTGTGTGTGTGTGTAAATACCCAAATAGGGCCATTTCTTATAAGCATCGGTGGTTCAGTAGTAGAATGCTCGCCTGCCACGCGGGCGGCCCGGATTCGATTCCCGGCCAATGCATTTTTTTTTTACTATTTTTAAAACTCATTTATATTATTATCCCTATATATATATAAAAGTCAGCGTATGTATGTATGTATGTTTGTCAACTATACACGTCCACAATACGTAACTAATCTGACTGAGATTTTAACAGTATAAGCAAATAATACTTTCTTAAGCTTTTTCCCCAAGAAATCCCTAAATACTTTCGTCCAAATTTTTATAATACTCAATTTGCTACAAACCACGGAAATTTCAAAAGTTTTCTGAATAGAATAAAGGCAGTGGAGGATTCAAGTTGCTTTTGTGGTATTGAGGAACAAACCTCAAGACATCTACTGCCCAGCATTTCAAGATTATAGAATGAAGAATGAACTAGTTGTTTAGGAATTAAACGATTTTATTTCCGATAAAAATTCATATCTAAAGTTCAATTCATTTTGTAAATACATTCTAAAATTTCTACAAAATCTGATTTTCTAATGTTTTTATTCGTTGAATAATGTAAATAACTTATGTAAACAAACTTTTCTCCTTGTTTGGCGCAAGTATCCCTTGCGGGATATAGTGCTTTGGAAATAAAATAATTGTCATAACAGTATATAAAGTAGAATCTGGAAAAACTCTTAGTGAAAATATCAGGTCTCTATCCCGAATATCCGTCGTGTTATTTGCAAATTTGCTCTTTCGCTCGCGCCTCTAGCGGTGAAAATGGGGGGTAATACCAGCTGACCTAATGTACACTGCGTGACATTGAAAATGGAACACCAAGAAATAGAGGCCAGAAAATTTTGCAAATTTCAGGGTAGACTCGCCTAACCGAGTTATGCAAATGATGTAAAATGCGCAGCTCTCGTGCGCACATGGAGTAAGATATAAGGGAAGGAACTTGCAGAAAGGACAGTATTCGTGTCGTTATTTCTTCAAGGAAAATCATTGTAGAAATTTTGTTCTTGTGTCAAAAGACACGTGTAATAACAGAGAATGCCAGGTCATCGTAAACGGAGGCAGTTCAAGCAGACAGACGCTTTTACGAGGGGCATGGTGATCGGACTGAAAAGGGCAGGTTGGTCCATACGTAAATCGCAGCTGATACACACCTTGGTGCGTCCACGGTGCACCGACTGTGGAGAAGATGGTTGGAACAAGGAAATGTGGCAATTTATAGGAATGTCGGTGCAACCAGAGTGACGTCAGCACGTGTGGATCGGCGTATCCTTCGACAAGCAGTGGCGGCCCCACAAGCCACTTGTACCGCCACCCTGCAACATGTACAAGACACCCTAGATCATTCCATCTCGACCAGAACCATTTCCCGTCGATTGGTTGCTAATGGCTTGCACTCATGCCGTCCGCTAAAAACTCATGCCGCCATTGACCCCACCGAATAGGCGCCAACGTTTGGAATGGTGCCGGGCTAGATCGACGTGGATGACGGAATGGCACAGGGTCGTGTTCTCAGATGAGTCGCGTTTCTGCTTGTCCAGTGATAGTCGCCGTGTACGCGTGTGGCGTCGACGTGGAGAAAGGTCCAATCCGGCAGCAATTGTGGAACGCCCCACCGTGCGACAACGTGGAATCATGGTTTGGGGCGCAATCGCGTATGATTCCAGGTCACCTTTACTTCGTATTCAGGGCACTATGACGGCCCAACGATACGTTGATGATGTGCTGCGACCGGTGACACTCCCATACCTTCAGGGGGTACCCAATGCCCTTTATCAGCAGGATAACGCCCGACCGCACAC